GTAGCATCTTACTCCTCCTAAGGACTAGCCTCAGCCTGGGCAGGGCACTTGGCCATTCCCTCTAGTGACTGCAGGCTGGGTGGAACCAGCTCTGGTTGAATTACATTTTGGTTATCTCAGACTCGTTTTGCACGTGTCTGTTGTTATGTCTGACCTGGAAATTCAAGTGGTTTTGAAATAAAAAAGAAATGCTGAAACAAGCATTTTATTAACCTCTCCTAAACTCTGCTCGAGTTCTCCAGTTTTGGAGACTTAAGTTGGAAAGGAACGTGCACAGAGGAGCCGAGGAGTACACTCCATGCACTACCAAATCCCACTACAGGCAGCTAAAACAGTATTCTGATTTTATATGTCTTATTCCAGCTTTATATACACAGATTAGTTGCACCGCCTTCAGTCTTGATCTTTGACAACTTCAGAGCTATTTTTTACCTCATTCGATACATAAAATTTGATAATATTAGTGTTTTGACACTTTTTAAATGACATGGAGGTACATGAAATGGTGAAAAATAGACAAAGATGGTGATTTTGCAGATTTCTCAGAAGAAAACAGCTGTAATTATGACTTTTTTCTCAATCTTTAAGACATAATTTATTCAGATAAAATGCAATAGCCTTCAGTTCCCATTGTTGGTGAGCATTAACTCCATCCACAGTACAAAGACACCAACAAGTATCACTGCATCTCAAACCAAACAGCTTGTCTCATTGCTGACTGGTGATTGTGGACACTATGTGCCACTACCTCTTCTTTATAACCAAGATCAGTGTTTTACAATACTGTCAAGTTCTGCAGTTCAGAACTGACATATAAACGGAGGCATCTGAGCCGTCACTGGCATTTGGCGTTCCTCACCTCACTTCTGGCAGAGCTGCCTTTCTGGCAGTGACATTCCTGGCCCAGGTCTCTCTCAGTGAAATCACTGGCAGATTTCCCAACACCTTGAATAAGAACAGAATTGGGTCCCATGACCAGAAGATGCATGTGCATCTCTCATCAAACTGTAAGCAGCAAATGTTCATGATTGCTATCTAGCAATCCAAACTGAGGGGCTGGTGACATCTGAGAGTGAATTGATTATATTGATTGTATTAACACTCAAAAGCGTATACCAGAAAAGATAATGCCTTGCCCAAGGATCACCATGCAGGCAAAATCTATTCCAACTACCTTAAAATACTCCTTCTCTGGTTCAAGTCATCTACCTAACAAGGAATAAAAAAAAAAAAAAAACACAAACAAAAAACCCCAAAACATCTCTCTTTGCTGATCAAAAGACAAAAACATAACATAAGCTATTGCTACAAGTATCAAAAAATATTTTCTTTAGACTTCTTTTCATTAAAATTCACCTGCGCAATTCATTTCTCTGAACACTCTTTGGAAAAAAAAGTCAGAAAAGAAAACTCTTAAAATATATTTTCTACTTTTTGCGCAGTTTTTAGAAAGGGTTTTCTTCATTTCATTCTGGAGGGGTCAATGTAATTCAGCATTTAGAAAACTGCAGCACCGGAAAATTTTTGCAGAATCTTAGAGTAGTAAAAGGCAAAATAGATATACTGTTTTAGAAGCAGCAGGTACCCTTTCTAGTCTAGGACCTGTACTGAAGGTAACTGCTTTTCAAGCTTAGCAATGGAACAATTAATAAAGGAACCCATTAAGGTCTGATTGTTGCTGCTAAAAAGGAAGGTTGAATTTCAGTCCTTTGAAGTAACTGAGAATGATTCAGGCCTCATTACAGAGATATAATCTACATTCATACATTTATGTTAGCGATTCAAATCTATTGGGACAGATTGAATTCCGTTAAATAGTGCATCTTTCCTGTGGAACTTTTCTCAGGCTTTCTCAGGCTAACCTAAGAGGTGACCTGACAATACAAAGTAGTGGGGTATTTAGGGATTTGACTGTGCTATAAAAGAAAGGCTATACAGAAAGTAGAAAAAAGAATGAGATATAATCTAAAAAGCTATGTTAGCTTTTCATTTGGTCTCTGTTTTGTAAATGCCCTCCCTGTCATCACACAGGACAGAAACGGACTCTATGCGTTGTACCAGTTTTAAGTACTGCACTGAATATTGCACCTGCCAGAAGCAGATTTAATGCGAAATTCTGGATATGTGGGGTTCGTTCTTAACCACAATATCTTACAACCAACATACAACCAATCACAAACTAGAAATAGGTCTAAGCAGAACTCTTCTTGAGTAAATTCAAGACAGTACCTATTTTTTTAATGAATAGGGGTTAAATACATGTTTGACCCCGAACTACTGTTTTCTCCTGCCAGCAGAGATCTGAAAATGCTGATTAATTGTATTTTCCAGCATTTGACAGGAAAAAGAGAAAAAAATGAAAGGTTTATTCAAATGTGTTATTTTAAGACATTATTGTAATTATTTATGATTGAAGCTGTTGGAATCAAAAGAACTTCAACTTTAGAAATAATGTGTTGTACCCTTCATGACCTAGACAGCTAGCAAACATTGACATCAGCTTTGTAGACATATGTGTAAGCTGTCAGGCATTCACCAAAAAATAGGCTTTTGCTTTTCATTTTGGTTTTATTTCTTTTTTATTAGTTGCCACAAAAGGAAAGCCTAAATCAGATTCACGAAAAAATTTCTGAAATGCTTTGCACTCGGTGCAAATACATGCAGAATAAATACTCTGAAGTACCATAAACAACATCATAAAACATATTGATTCTAACATTAAATGGTTTCATTTTTAAGGCTGTTTAAATGTCACCCCCAGAAGCTGAACACATAAATTTAGGAGCCGACTCTTTCCAGAATAAACACCATAATTGGAAAAAATCATTTCTAATTTTTGTTGTGAAGTTAACAATATATTTAACATCCTAATCTAATGAATCAGTCTAATTTTAGAACTATTTGTTCTTTTCTGCATTTTCTGTTGCTTAAATTAAGATTTACTCCAAATGCCAAATGTAATTGCATAAGCGGTTTTCCATTGCATTCCACTGATCTGCGTTATTAAACTGCCTCTATTTCAGAAAAGTTCTGGTTTTACTTATGGAGCTACTCACTGTGTTTCTGTACCACTTCACTTCTCCGCTACTCGATTCTCTTAGTGAATGTTCCACCTACTTGCATTCAAAAAGTTATTTTACAACACCAAATACAGAATCAAAATTCTATGTCTTTCCTGCTGCCCATATCCTGCCAGTCCCTGATTCCTGATTCTGGTGTCAAAAGATAGCACATCGTATGGAAGACGCCTGTTAATTACTGGGAAAGTTGACAGTTCAGTGATGGGCTAGAAAGAGGATCGGTCCTAACATTCAGCATGTGAAATAAAAATCCATTAGGAGAGATAGAATCAAAGGAAAAAACAACATATGCCCCTCCAAGAAAATAATAGCTTGAAAAATTGCTTTAAAATTGCCTTGAAAATGGAAAATTTGTTTCTTTCTGGCCAAGGAAACTGCATCAGTTAAAAAAAAAAAAAAAAAGACAGCAAAATATTCAGACGTTTTATGGGGAAACCTTTGCAATCCCAATAAAGACCCTTTTGCTTTGAAGTCGGAGGCGTGATTCAGTAAATGACTCATGTTAGCAATTAGAAAATGGTCATTTAGGGCCCAGATTTCTTCTGAGACAAGGAGGGTGAGGGTGGGGAAAGAGACACAATAAATCTTGAGAGGCTTAAAAGGAAGAGCAGGCTAAAGTGTGAACTTTTTATTTCAGCAACGGAAGCGAGAAATCAGTGCTTCATTAAAGGAGGGAGAAAGACCTCCATGGAAGCTGGCAAAGAAGAAGGAAAAGGAGCTAATTACATCTCTTCCCTTTTTACTCTTTCTGACCAGCATATAATCTGCTTTTCCAGGGTCTGCCTGTAGTATATACTTCTTTCCAACCTCTCTACCCAACCCCTCCTCCAGCGGGGGGGGAGGGGGAGATCTAGCAGGCAACAAGCTCCAGGTGGCTTTTTCAAGCACTTCACTGCCAAAAAAATAAAATAAAATCCTCCGCTAGAAAACAAGTTTCGTTTTTCTTTTCTTTTTTTT